GTCTTTCATCAGTCCCATGGGACGCCCATGCCCACTACGGGATAGGGAGGTCCGGGTGAGGGAGATTCCCTGCCCTCCATCAATGCTGACCCCATAAAGGAACACCTTGAGAGGCTGGATACCTTCAAGTCAGTCGGCCCTGACAATCTACACCCCAGGGTACTCAAGGAGTTGGCGAGCATCATAGCCCAGCCTCTGGGCCATCATAGGCCAGCCTCATCATTGAGAACTCTTGGCACTCTGGTGTAGTGCCCAAAGACTGGAAGAAGGCCAATGTGGTGCTTATCTTCAAGAAAGGGAGGAAAGTGGATCCAGCAAACTATAGGCCCATCAGCCTGACTTCTATCCCGGGGAAGATCTTAGAAAAGTTTATTAAAGAGGCCATCCTTAATGGACTGGCCGATGCCAACATCCTGAGGGATAGCCAGCATGGGTTTGTTGCAGGTAGGTCTTGCTTGACCAATCTCATTTCCTTTTACAACCAGGTGACCTATCACCTGGACAAGGGAAAAGAGATTGATGTCATATATCTTGACTTCAAAAAAGCCTTTGATCTGGTATCCCATGATCACCTCTTGGCAAAACTGGCCAACCGTGGCCTTGGGTCCACCACGATCCGCTGCCTAGGAAATTGGCTCCGTGGTCACACCCAGAGGGTGGTAATTGATGGAAGTCAATCGTCATGGTGCCCTGTGACCAGCGGGGTCCCCCAAAGTTCTGTCCTTGGACCCATATTGTTCAACATCTTCATTAATGATGTGGACATTGGAGTAAAAATGCAAAGTTCTCTACTTTGGGAGGACAAACCTGCAGCATCCTTATAGGCTTGGCAGTGCTACGCTGGCTAGTACTACGGAAGAAAGAGACTTGGAGGTCATCATTGACCACAAGATGAACATGAGCCTGCAATGCGATGCTGCAGCTAGTAAAGCGAGCAAAATGCTGGCTTGCATCCATAGACGCTTCTCAAGCAAATCCCGGGATGTCATTCTCCCCTTGTACTCGGTCTTGGTGAGGCCGCAGCTGGAGTACTGCGTCCAGTTTTGGGCCCCACAATTCAAAAAGGATGTGGAGAAGCTTGAGAGAGTCCAGAGAAGAGCCACACGCATGATCAGAAGTCAGGAAAACAGACCTTACGATGACAGGCTGAGATCTATGAGGCTCTTTAGCCTGGAAAAGCTCAGGCTCAGGGGTGATCTGATGGTCACCTATAAGTTTATCAGGGGTGACCATCAGTATCTGGGGGAACGTTTGTTCACCAGAGCGCCCCAAGGGATGACGAGGTTGAACGGTTATATACTACTGCAAGACCATTTCAGGCTGGACATAAGGAAGAGTTTCTTTACTGTCCGAGCCCCCAAGGTCTAGAATAGCTTGCCATCGGAGGTGGTTCAATCACCTACATTGAACACCTTCAAGAGTAAATTGGATGCTTACCTCGCTGGGATCCTATGACCCCAGCTGACTTCCTGCCCTTTGGGCAGGGGGCTGGACTCGATGATCTTCCGAAGTCCCGTCCAGCCCTAATGTCTATGAAATCTATGAAACTTCACAAAATATAAAAATATAAATAAAAGTTAATCATCCCCATTTTACAGATAAGAAACAGAGCCAGTAATTGGCAGGCCCAATGCCATACAATGAGTTGGCCTCAGGGACAGAATTAAAAGCCAGTTCACATTCTCTTAATTCCAGCTTTGTCCCCAGACCATGCTGTTCCAGCATAAAGCATCCAAATGCAGTAATATCAGCAGCAGGTGAAGACTGATTTTTGCTTTGCAATTATTTCACAATATAGCAAATGGCAAAACTGCTCTTGTTCTGCTTGAGACTCTGGCTGCATCTCTTTCTCTTGCCTGGCTCACAGAGCCATCCATGACCACATGCTGAATAAGCACAGCCTTTGCACTGCATCTTGTAAGTGCCAACTTCATGGCTGCTGCTGCCACATGGAGGGATGCCAGGCAGCTGGGCCAGGGGCCACCCACCAGGTTGTTGTGGTGAGGGAAGGGCAATGGTGACTGGGCCTTGGTGCTGCCAAGGTAGAATGTTTGTGCAGTTGTATTACTGGAATTAGAAAATGTATTGAGATTATGGGTCTTCACTGTTTTCCGAGTTCATTTACAGCACCTGGGAAAGTAGACTACTGCCTATGAAATCTTTAGGTCTCCCTGAAAGGGTTATTCTATAACATTGTTCTCAGCCTTTTTGGTTTCAAGGCTCCCTTCCTTAGACTCAAGGCCCCCTTGGAAAATGCCAGTTCTTATTAGCTTTCACTTGGTTTTTGACTGCAGAAAAATAATAAACCAAGTTTGCTGTTGCAGAGCCCTCAACAGGTCAGAATGTGTTTGCTCCTATGGATTCCTGGTTGCAATTTTGGTCTTTATCTTGTCTTGTGATGAAGTGACTTTGAGTTCAAGAAAGCTGGCTTCTATGTTATTTAATTAGATGCCAATCCACCTTGCCTTCTGTGTGACTTCAGCCTAGGTACCTCTCTTTATCTTGCCAAATGAAGTGGGGCAGATCCAGGGGGCATGCCATGGTGCAGTCGCACCTGCTCCCAACTGATTCCTATTCCAGCCAAAGTTTAAAACCAACTGCCTGGCAATGGCAGCAACATTTCTAGTCAGACAGTGCTGACTTGACCTCATACCTCATTATATTTTACCTGATTCCTTCTAAACTCTTCCTTCCACAGGTATTAACCACCTCTTTCCTGTTTAATCGTCTTGATGGTCCAATAACCAAGGTAGCCTTTCTTTGGCACTTCTGCTGTGTGCTAGCTACTCCTGGTAATACAGCTCCTATTTCCCAGCCCTGCAGACTGTGTCTAACTTTAGATAACAACATTAACTCGAGCCTAGAAATAACTTGCAGAGCAGCACTGGATGTGCCCTCAACATGGCTCGACTGTGTCTTATAAGTCTGGAAAGAAAAAGAAAAAGAGCCAGCCACTTCATTTGCACGATGGCAGGCCTACTCATGAAAACATCTCCTGCTTATTATTATTTTTTTGCCTCATTTGTTATGGGTTGCTTTTCTTTTTAATGTGGGCTGGACGCTATAGCCAAGTAACCCACATTCCCATCCAGTTACATGGGTTTTTTTGCTTCATGCTTAAACTGAACACTGCAGCCCCAGGCAGCTAGCTTATGAGTAAAGCCTCCAGCTTCTTTTGAACTGGAGAAATGTGTTGTATGACATGGAGTGATACCCCCCAAACTCCTAGGTGTGCCCTGGTTTTTATATGTGCCCCTCCCTTTCCTCCTCAGCAGCTGGCCACCACCAGAAGCCGGAGCGCACCTGCTATTCCCACGCTCGGGGACCCGACGTTTACAGCCTCGCCCTGCCAGAGCCACTGCCCCCTCCCCCCTCAGGTGGCCCTACCCGTGACGTCAGCCCCGCGGCCGAGCGCTTGGGAGAAACTGGCTGGTGTTCTCTGAGCATGCGCTCTGCCCCATCCACCATTGTCCTGAAGGGGGGGGCGGGGGAAGGGATCATAGAGCGCGGCGGACCGGCGGGATAGAGCGGCCGGCGGAGGCGGAGCGACTCCAAAGTCGGGCCCTTCCAGCTGCATTGGCAAACATGGCGGCGCGGCGGCCTCGCTCCGCCT